TGTCGATTTTCTTTCAAATTTTTCAAAGAATAACCTGTTCCAAAATTGCTGTACACACCCAGAGTTTCATTGTTTTTGGCCCAGAAGCAATCACCGTTCTGATTTCCTTCACATTGCAAACCAATCCAGATCGGAAGATTTTCAATCGTTGCCAAAAGTCCAAGCTGATAATTTTCCGCTTTGTTTTCTATAGAAACTAAACTAGAACCATATAACGTTTCACAGTTGCGTTCCGCGTCGGAAAAAGTTCTGTTTTCTGTGAATAATTTCCAGCACTTATGATTTTGGATTAGTTGAAAGCCATACGCGCAGATGACTGAAATTTTTTGATAAATACAACTCGTTTTACAGATGATGTTTTTTATTGAATCAAATCGTTAAATGTAGATTTTGGCGAATTCTACACAATGATTTGACATCTGAACTTGTTAAAACAAAGCTGTATCGAGCAGGAGCTATTAAATAAGCAAAGCTTCACAGCAAAGGCCCAAATAGCTTTTCGCGTTTAATACTGTTTACTCGCGTTACCAAATCAGAAAAAAGATTTATAGGGGTTTTCAGCTCGGTAGAACACCGTTAAAAACCTATAGTGTTTTACCTAGTTTACTTTTTTTATATTAGGTTGAGTCTTTGAGATGTAATGATCAAGAAAAATTTAAAAAGCTCACCTGTTCGCGTAGTAGCTGTTTCAGTTTGAACTACCGATTTTCGTTTAGGAACTAATAAGACAATTAGAAAAATTAAAAGCAATAAAATAAAAAGTCCTAATCCACCAAGAACGAATCTCCAGTGTTTTCGCCAGTAAAACAATAATATATTCGAAAATTGTGTCCTGGGGTCCTTTGGTTCACGATTATGAATAATGTAGGCGTAGCCAGGGTCTTCGTGAGCTTGGTCCCAATCAGACAAATTTTTTGCAGATAATACAAACTCTAAGCTTTTCGATACGCCGGTTTCCTGCATTTTTGGACATTGTATATATTCGTAGTTCTTGATTTCTTGATCTGAATAAAACATAGAAGATAGTGAACTTTCCACAAAAGAACTCACTCATTTTAGAGATTTTGAATATTGACTAGAAAAAAAGATAAGTGAAAAAAGTTCAGGGAAACTCTTATATGGAAGAATATTATGATGCGAGTGGAACTTTCGATAAAACGAAATAAGGCTTAAAACTTCGAAAATTGTTGTAATTCGACAAACATGGTTGGTTGATCGAATTTTAATGCAATAATTTTTAATAGGATCAGAAATTGGTGGTGGTTCGATAAGAATAAGTCTTGTAAAGAAATCAAATTACAGTCGTGCTCAATGCTAGACATATAACTTGGGTTTCAAACGTTTTCAAATTTTGAAATACTGAGGTTACAGAAATGAAAGTTGTTAGTGGTGTTGATCATTTTAGCAGAGGTAATTTTTAGGAAAACCTTCAATCAATGAGTATTGTGGCGACGAATACTGCAATGAGTCTCCACATTGGTAATTATTAACTTGTTGTAAAAGGAGGAAATACCTTATTGAGAAAATCAAAATTTCGAAAAATTTAACTTCAGTAAAAAAAGAATCAAAAGAGTGGGAGTCGAACCATATAAGAGAAATTAATGGTAAATTTTGAGCAAACTTTGGACTGCAATTTCAGCACTTTAGAGGTTTCTTAAGCAGGTTTTGAACCCCGTTTTTATAGGTTGCTCAATTACACCTGTTTTTTATATCTGCAATAAAACTTGGAGAAAAAATCAAAGTTTGCTTCCAGCGCGACAGTGCCAGATCACCCGTCTTCTATTTTTTGTGGGGTGTCTAGAGGGGCACTTCAATTATAGGGGCCTTTCAATTAGAGGGGGCACTTGTATTTTTTGTGGGGTTCCTGAGAGCATAATTTTTATTAGAGAAGCGTCGTTTTTCAGTGAAAATTGTTTTTTCTACTTTTGTCAAATTTTGAAAACTGGCACCTGTAAAATTGCAAGCCGTCGCTTGTCTTGATCTGGACTAAAATCCGATTTCGTATCAATCAAAATTTATTTCTTTGAATTTAGTAGGCATTTCTGATCGAAATTCAGATTTCTTGGTAATAATATGATCGCTAGAATTTCAAGAATGTTTTAATATCAGGAAACCCAATTTTAATGGCGAAAATCGCCCGAACGATACAAAATCTAAAATATTACGATTTTGCTATGCCACCTTGTAGACAAAAAAGAGCGACGGCTTCCAGATTTTCAGGTTCCAGTTTTTTCTAATGGGACAATAGTTCAATCAAAACAACAGAAAAAAAACAGGAAATCAATAGGGCACTTCAATCAGAGGAAGTACTACAAATGAAGGGCCCTTCAATTATAGGAGCACTTCAATTTCAGGGGCCCTTCTAATACAGGTTCTACGGTATTTTTATGCACCCGCCCTACTCTCCAGACCTTTCAAACAAATGGTCGTTTGTATTTTGGCAACATCATTGACTAGTTGAACACACAAAATAACAAATTCAGATAGCTTTAAATACAACCAAAAAAGGGGAGGAGTTTGAAAAAAGAGACAATATGATGCGGGGGAGAGGAATGCCTTTAGAGAAAAAAATCATATTGAAAAGTGTGTGAGTCACCAGGGCAAAGAGTGCGACGATCCTAAGACTCAACACAGTTTGGGGGTTTTAAACGTCATCTTGATAGAAAATACTTCAATTGAAAGGATGACACAAAAAAGGAGTTGACCCACTTTTTCAATTGTAGCCCTCCTCGTTCTGGGCCGATGGAATCAATAAATTTCCAGAGAATTACCAGACAAGTATTGATGCTCATGGACATTACTTTGATTAATCTAGCCCTCTCTTCTCTGAGGAAAATTTGCAAAATAAGAAAGAAATGTTCTTATCAACCTAATAACGATGGTATACGGAGAGACATCAACAATTTTATTCAAGTTCGACCAAAACCCACCACCCTGCGGACAGATCTCGGTTATATCAATGGTATAGTAGGCAGTTATTCTTTGTCCGTTTTTCGCTCATTTCCCGTTGTCTGAAAGTGTCCGAGTGGTCTGTCCGTGCATAAACGCGCCATGGGCTTGCCAGCCAGCCGTTTGAAACACTGGTGGCGCGGCAAGCAGACTGGTTCTATAATGTGCTTTATTATAGCTCACTTTGAGAAGAATTATGTTGCGTGTGTTCCAGAAAATCAATTGACCACTATTTTGCTTTTTTGAGAGGTTAAATTTCGACTAGTCAAGTAAATATTGTTAGCAATTGATTGTCTAGCGACGCCAGATTAGTGTTAAATCAGAAAGCCAGTTGAGGTCTTGTTTAAAAACTAGAAGCAAGTAAATGAACATTTGACAGTGTTTTCATCAGCTTTCGAAATGCAAATTTCTTTGTAGAATACCTTTTTTGAAAATTATTGTTCCCCAAAAAACTAAAAAAAACAGTATAAAAGAGTTTCAAGCTCAAGCCTGAAGTGGATTTTCCAGTCTCTTTTAACAAGTATACATTTTTTCTTAACACTGATTTCGTAATCGTTTTTGTTTCTCAGACATCATTCTTTGGAGAACCGGTTGTTCGCGTCCCCACCTCGGTGTTTTTGATCCCTTCCATTGTTCGGATAACTGTTTTTGTGTCGAAGTGGGATATTATCTATCTTTTAGACGTCTACCAAAAAAGTAAAGAAAATAGGACTAACTGGAGAGAACCATGATGTCAAAAGCAAGTTGAAGACAATAGAAGACAAGACATCGAATTTACTCACAAACTTGCAAGAAAAACTTATCACACAAAAAATTATAAAGTAGAAAGCATTTGGGTGTTTAATGAAATTTTAAACATGTATTTGATTATTCACTAGTGGTCATTTTCACCACCCCTGTCTTCAATAAATATCCGCATACTATTTTTATTCAGGATTTTACAGTTTGCAAGTTCTCTTTTGCCTTCACTCCTCGACCCTGCCTGTTTGATTAGCTTTTCTCTCCAACCTCCTACGTCTCTATTGTTTGTTTCCACTCTGATAGGTTTGCATTGTACAACGGTAAATTTTCCACGGGAGGATGTGAACTGGGAAAAATGCCAATAAGAGGTTAGAGATGATAGTGTGCAACTTGGTTAAAGAGACGAAAACAGCGAAAGAGACAGCAAAAGAGAAAAAGACACGGATGAAGTCAGTGGGAAGCTGGGAGGGTGTAGTGCTTCCTCTTTTCTCTTTCTCTCTCTCTCTCTCTCTCTCTCTCTCTCTCTTTTCTTATCTCGTCATGTTTCTCCTCTTTTTCCGACGTTTTTCTCAAAGTTTCTCTGTCTATTCTTTTCTCTAACCATGAAGTCCTTGCCAGAAAGCTTTTCGAAGAAGCCTGCATGCCACATTTTCGTTGGCGGTCATTTTCTATTTTGGAAAAGAGATAGAGAGAGAGAGAGAGAGAGAGAGAGAGAGAGAGAAAACTACAAATCTGATTCCTTCGTTGATTCTATTGTGATAGAAAAATCAGTGGAAATAAATATTGTTTTTCATTAGAAAAACTGGTCATCGCGAATACATTTAAACGGCCAAAGCTTACTTTTATTGTTGACAAAAATTACTCCCGGCTGTACTACGCTCCTTTCTCTTTTATTACAATTAAACTTATTCAAACTTCCTGATAACCATCAAATTTCTTTCTTTTTCGCATGTTTTAAAAAAAATATATTACCTGCCCCATAGAAAATCACATATTGAATGGATGAGTAATTCAAACAGAGACATACACACAGACACACATAGGCACTCAAACTCACCACCCTCATACACACATACTCACACGGACCGATGCGTGTGTTCTTCTCTTTCTTTTTCATCTTCCTCTTCATATCTTTTTTTTTCTTCTTCGGTTCGCGTAGGTTTTTCTCCGACCAACAATCAGGTGATCGACTCACGTTGGAAACTGAAGCACGGAATCAGTTTGGTCCAACAACTAACTTTTTAACAAACCACACAGTTTCTCATTTCTGGAAATGTCTTAAGTTATCAATTTAAAAAATTATATTTTCAAAGCAGTTATGTATTCCTGCTCCATTATTCATAAATGACCATCGCTGTCATTCCTTGGGTTTCTGAAAATACTTCAACCTCAATAATTTAGAGTAGTTTTCTATTTTTATATCATGACGTAGACTCTTTTTTTCCGGAAACTATGATTACTCCTAATATTGAAAGACAGTAGTATCAATTTTTTCTCATTCCACAATTAATGGACAAACTATATACCGTATTTCCTCTAACAGAAGACCACTCAATCCGTCAACTTGAAGTTCAATTATCATTATTTCTGTGAGAGATATCAAAAGTTTCTCAACTGATAAGCCGTTTTTCAGATTATAATCAACATTTTTCCAAATGACGCATTTTTGATACTTTTCATAGGAATCGAGATAATTGAGCTCAAAATCGAAGGTTTGAGTGCTTCTATTAAAGGAAATACAGTATTTTTATATAATGTTGTTTTTCAGTTTTTCTATTCAACCTACATTTCTTTATTATCTATTTTTTCTTAGCCAAAACCACTGCAATTATGATCTCTCCTCTTCTTTTCTTCGCTTTCCTCCTATGGATTTCCTCTTTTTTGAAAGGGTTTTGAGCTCTCTCAAAGCTTTCTCAAAAGAGATATTTATGCCAAAAGAGCTCTTTTTGTTGGGAGGTTGGTGGCGCGGCGCGTAGCATGGCAACGGCACGCGCTTCAAAGCTCTGCCAAGAATACACAAGTCGGTTCCAAGGACGTAAGGCGCACCAAAATGTTCTTTTTTAAACTTTCTGAAAGCAGAAAAAACAAAATAACGACAGACCATTAAAACATAATTCGAGAAATCTCGCAACTCTTTTCTCCCTCTGTTCTAATGTTCCTCATCGCATCTACCGCCCAAGTCTTCTTTCACTAAACCACGTCATCATGTTTCTCCCCTTCTCTTTTGAATTGATTTGTCCTCGATTTCCTGTCCGCTGCGGCAGTGGTTGGTGACTACAACGTCGATTGAAAAAATATATAGACAGTGTCGATTCTTCGAAATTTATTTTATTCGTTTCATTTTCAGTTTGCTTATCCAAAATTAGGAAAACTGTAAATCTATAGTTTTATTGCTGGAGTCTCCTTAAATCATTTTTAATTGAAAATGTATTCCGTATATCAAGAAGTCTGTAATTTCAGATATGACATCTACCACAATATTAACCACTCTCGACTTGGTCACACCAACATCAGGTATGTTTTTGGATGCTTCGTGCATTTTCTCTGAGTCTCTTCACTTTTTCTTTTATTCTCTCTATCTTAAAGAAACGGAAGGAAGGCATAGGCAGAGGGGCAATCCGACGTCGCTCCAGCCACGTGGAAGTTTTTTGAGGTCGTTTCCTTCAATTCAGTCGTTTAGCGTATTACAAATAGATAGGCTAGTGAACTGTTCATCGTGTTAGAGACCAGTTCTATTATGATAAGAAAAGTAGAATATATGCCAGATGTTTATTTTGAAAAATCCAAAAAATAATGAATCTGTGAAAAAAAATTTAAACTATCGGAGTCCTCGTTTCTTTTTTCTGACATCTATTTCTCTTTTTTTCACAGAAAAAAGGCACATTCACCCATCTATTTTGGTGTGTGCGTGTGCTCCATTGACGTCATCACTGAAGAAGAATAAGAAAGCTAGAGAGAAAACGGGACCATGAGTCAGCGGGGACCCGTTGAGCTAGTCGGAGAATGGGTCAGAGTAGCTCATGCAAAAGCATACAGAACTGTTACGAAATATCCAGGATGTTAGAAACTTGCAATAAGTAAGATCTATGATCTTATATATGAAACATAAGTGTTTAAAAATCGAGAAGTAAGAGAAGAAGTAATACCTGGGAATATCGGAAAGTTTGGATATTCATAATATTTGAGAAATGAAATTTTATTGTTTCCCCTTTCCCACCCCAAGTTAGTTTAATGTAAATATTCCCACAAAACTTGCATTCTATCATTATCAGTCTTTCAACAGACCATGTGAGGGCGCTGACCACACCTCCAATCACTTTTTTTCTGTTAATCAATGACTCTGTCACTTTTTGTAAGGGGAAGGTTAGTAGTCTTATCACTAAACTATCGTCACTTTTCTTGATTTTCTCGATTTTTTCTCGAAATATTACTCACTTATTGGGCATTCAGAGGTTGAAGCTAGAAAACACCATTCTAATAGCCCACTTCGCCCTAGTCAGCAAATCTCGATCCTACACCTCGGGTCAATATATCACTGTCTAACCCCTTTTCGAAGTTTATGGCGCCATTACCAAGTGACTCATACTAATAGACGCTGGAGAGTATGATCTACGCTCTTCTTCTGATAAAAAATGTTTTTTTCAAGCAAAATTCTAAATTTTCAGAACAACCCGGACCGATGCAAGCAGAACCATCAAGTGCAGCAGACGCTAGTACTTCTGATTTTTCAACTGTCTTTTGAGCTCAAATGGATCAGAACTAGTCACACAGAGTGCACCAAATACGCCTATACAACACCGAGAACTTGCAAATGCCGAATTCGGTAAGAACGAAGATTAGCATACTTCACAGTTTTTTTATTTCTTTTTTCAGCTAATCCGAACGCGAACAGCATGATGGCTGCAGCGGGAAATGCCTCTAAACCTAGCCTAAATAATTTTTACGCGGAAGGACTGGGTCATCTTCGGGAAGGACTTTTCTCTTGTTTTCGACCAGTTTTAGGATACTTCGGAGGAAAACCTACACAAGAAATGTAACTGAATCATTTTGAAATGAGCATCCCGACACTAATACATTGTTTTACAGTGAGAAAACTGAAGACGAAGGATGGGAAATTCCATTTGACGCAATCTCTAACCTAGAATGGCTTGGCTCGGGGTCTCAAGGAGCTGTTTTCCATGGACAATATGAAAATAGAACTGTTGCTGTCAAAAAAGTCAATCAACTAAAAGAGACTGAAATCAAACACCTTCGACATCTTCGGCACAAAAATATCATCGAATTTCTAGGAGTTTGCTCGAAAAGTCCGTGCTATTGCATTGTGATGGAATACTGTCCAAAAGGGCAATTATGTACAGTACTCAGACAAAAGAATCTTATCACGCGTCAAATGTTCTCGGATTGGGTTAAAGAAATCGCAGATGGAATGCATTATCTTCATCAAAATAAAGTCATTCATCGAGATTTGAAATCACCAAACATCTTAATCTCTGCTGAAGACTCTATCAAAATTTGTGATTTTGGAACATCCCATCTACAAAAGAAAAATGACAGTACTATGATGTCATTTTGTGGGACTGTAAGGTTAGTGGGAAAAACAGTTTTAAAAAACATTAAAATGAGTTCCATGAATATATTTTCTCGGCTTTCAGCTGGATGGCTCCTGAAATGATCAAAAAGGAACCTTGCAACGAAAAAGTCGACGTCTATTCATTTGGTGTTGTTCTTTGGGAAATGCTCACTCGAGAAACCCCGTATGCTAACATTGCTCAAATGGCGATTATCTTTGGTGTCGGAACAAAGTGAGTCGAATTAAAAAAAAAAAAAACTTTCAAATTTGTTTTTTCAGCATTCTTAACTTACCAATGCCAGAAGAAGCTCCACGTGGGCTAGTACTACTCATCAAGCAGTGTCTTTCCCAAAAAGGCCGAAACCGTCCGTCGTTCTCACACATTCGTCAGCACTGGGAGATATTCAAGCCAGAACTGTTCGAGATGACAGAAGATGAATGGCAGGTGGCTTGGGATTCATACAGAGAATTCGCAAAAGCCATTCAGTACCCTTCTACTGTAACTAAAGATCACGGTGGACCAAAAAGTGCGTTTGCCATGGAGGAGGAGATGCAAAGAAAGCGTCATGAACAGCTGAATCATATTAAGGTACGATTTTCTATTGAAATTATTCATCATCGTAATAGGTTGGTGAAAATGTATCAGAAAAAGTTAAATTATAGATATATATTTTTCATTATCATTACTAATAACAAACACCAAATTCGGTATGTGAGAATGTATGTAGCGTGACTGTTTACCCACTCAAAGTTAACCGTTCGAGCTGGAATTCGGATGGATGAATCGGAAATTTTTATTAGTTTTTGCCCGACCCTTTCTATTTTGTTGTTTCTGACGTCTTCTGGAAACGTTCTTCTCCTTTTTCAGTACAAATTTTAAGAAAATTATGGAAGCAATATTTACGTCATTCCCGTCTAACCTCCCAATTGTTTTTCTTATCACCGCTATTTCTGAGCGAAAGTTAATTTTGTGAAAATAGTTTTTTAGTATGGATTTTGGAAAATTAAAAGGGAGGGAAATGTCTGGAAAAGTTAAAATGCATTCTTGAAAAGAGAGAAAAAACTATGAAAGAGCAGATAAAAATGAGAGATCTTCAGAAAAATATTCTACCGCGCTCTCTGAATTCCTGGAATTTTCCGAAGTTTGAAGAATTCAACAACTCAGAATCGAATTGAATTCAACAACTCCAAAATGGAAACTTTTTGGATTTGAATTTTTGAAATTTGGTTTCGAATTTTTCTGGAATCTCTGAATCGTAATGACTTCAAAATCAGAGAATAACTTGAGAGTTTTAAAACTTTGATTCTCCGAGTTCCTAAATTTCTTGACTTTGAATCTAAAATATCTGATCTTCGAAATTTGAAAGTTCAAAAACGCAAAAAATTTTGGAACTTAAGAAATCCTCAAACTTTGAATTCTGGAATGAAGAAATTCAAAAAAATTGCTGATATTTGTGAACCTGGATTTCAAAAAGAAATTAAGAAACTCAGGAAATCCGAAATTTGAATTTTCCGATTTTCAGGAATTTGGGAACTTTTCAATTTCTCAATTTCCAGAATTTAAAATTATGGAACTAAGGAATTTAAGAATATTCAAATTCAGAAATTAGAATTCATTAAAGATGGGGGACATGAAAAAATAATGTTCTCGAAATTCCGTTCAAAGATGCCCCTCGAGGAGTTGAACTTATGAGGGCGATGATTGACGGTGCGGCGCCGCTACCGACTGAGCCACGCGGGCAAAGAGAAAGCGCACGCCCGATTGCATACATAAAGGCGAGGACGACAGCTGTACGCAGAGTGACATTAAGCGTTGTACACCGTGACGGTAGAATGCATACTCTAACTACAAAAAACTACGAAAAATCTCCTGTCCCTCCACCTTTAAGCCACCAATTTGAAATTTCTGAATTTCTGACTTCTCGAATGTCTAAATTTTCCAGTTTTTGAACTACTGAATTTGAACTTTCTGAATTATCTTCAGAATTTTAGATTTTCCGATTTTACAAAACTTCTTACAAAACTTCCGAATTTTTTAATTTTGAATTTGTGAATTTCCAAAAGTTCGAACTTCCCAAATTTTCAGTTCCGATTTTTCGATTTTCCGAGATTCAGAATTTTGGAAATTGAGAGTTTCAGGATTCCAGAAGTTCTTACTTTAATTTTTTTTAATGTCCCTTGCTTCCATATATTTTCGTAGCTTACAAAAAAAATACAGACATTTCCATATGATTACGGGTAAAGTAAGCGGGAGCCAGGAGGTTTAGCCCCGAAGGGGCGTAAACCGACTGGTAACTTTTTATTATATTATTTATAATATATTTGGTTTCAGGATATCCGTCATATGTATGAAGCCAAATTGAAACGAACTAACAAAATGTACGATAAACTGCAAGGATGTTTCACAGAGCTTAAATTGAAGGAACACGAGTTGGCGGAGTGGGAAAGAAATTTAGCAGAACGAGAGCAAATGCATGTTTATAACAGTCCAAGATCCATGTCAGCTGCTCCAAGATTTCAACTTCGTGGAAACTGCTATCCTAACGAAGCTTATGAGGAAATGTCATCAGATGAGGATGGTCAGTGCCCACCTTGTCGAGGATCACCATATCGAAATTCGAACATGAGCACGTCTTCTGGTGCTCAAAGCTCACCATTTTCAAGGCAATCTTCATGTAGAAGCAGTGCTGGTCAACAAACTCGAAGAAGTGAAGGGGCCAATGCTCAGAGTCAGTTTCAAATCAACCTTTTCTTATTCCATTGTGGCTTTCAGAAATCTCCCGAAACGATTTGTTGCGGCATTCATCATCCTACTGGGAAACAATTGGAAACAGAGGATCTCCAGCAAGAGGATCCGGATTCTCACAAGACTCTGGAGTGTGGAGTGCTGGAGTCAGTTCCATGGCAATCAATGGAGGAGTACAAGGCGGAGTACCCGTCACCTACGCTCAAACCATTTATCGAAACGGGGAAGGAAGATGGTCGGACGGGCGAATTGCTTCACGTCGCCGTGTGTCTTCATCTGCCAACAAGAACTTGCCGCCTGTTTTCTTTACACGAGACAGTCCTTCTCGTGTTCCTCACGGTGTGGTCAATCACTCTGCTCGTATGTGCATGTCTTTTTTTCTTCCACCAAACTTCTTCAGTTTGCATGATTCGTTAGACTACTGAACATAGTGTTAGCCTTTACCACGTTCTAGAATTGTTTTTCAAATAGTTTGTTGTGATTCAGTTGATCAATCAAAAAACGGTGTATTTTTTTCAATCACTTCCTCTTTTCCCACTCACTATCAAGACGAAACTTCACTGAACTTATCCAACTGATTTTTCATAAAATACGTAATTTTCAGCAAGAAGCAGCTCGAAACTCAACCGCTCATCGTATCCATCTCGAAATGCTCCACATCAACTGGAAGACGGGTGTTGTTGCAACCATGGCCGTGTTCCACGAGCGAAATCTGTTGCGGTGTCCATGGCAACTCGTGGGAGATCTCCAACACCATACGACAACGATGCTTCAGATGCTGCAGAGAATCCTGATATTCACTATGAACTGCAAATTCCAGAGACTACTTCATATGACGAGGCGTTGAAGTCAATTGGAGAAACAGACGATGTAGAAATGGATGCAGCTAATGGCGTCAATCCTATTTATTCCTCTCCAATAACTACCTATAACAATCCTTGCCATGTAAACTATGAAAATGTGACAGAAGAGAATGCTAATGACATTGATCTGACTTCTTCTATGGATTCAAGGAGATCAAGAGCTGATGACGCAGACGTGGAATCGTCAGAGGATGAAGGAAATGGAAATAATATTCTAAACACTTCGATGGAGTCCGAGGAATTGAGGTACAGAATCGATACATCGCAAAGTACTATGATGAGCTCTTTGGAAAGAAGCCTTGAGATTGGTGCTACTAGATCCGATGGACTGAGCGATAACGAACGGAGGGTTCAGGCTGTGAAGCACAGCATTAAGACACACAGAAGAACATCCTCGGTAGTCTTCGAGAAATAGAGTATTTCAATGATAAAATAATTTTTCAGAACCCTCAAGCTATCATTCATCAACGTATTGAAGAATATTCGTCGTCTGCCACAGAAGATAGTGATGACGCTGGAGCCGTCAGAATTTGAAGTTTTAATATTTGTTTGAAAATATTTTAGTAGTCATTTCAAACTCAAATCTCATACTCTCACATTCCGCCTTTGATAATTTGTCCAAAGTTGTCAGCTATGTCCTTTTTTGCCGCTTCATTGATACTTAACTTATGCCCCGACTTTCAAGATTCTCGATTGTTAACTATAGAAAGTAGTATATCCCAACGATAACCGGTAACTCATACGTTTCAACTTATTTTGTTTAAAACATCTTCCAACACATTTTATATGTCGATTATGCCCTATTTTTGTATTATGGAGCATTTTGAATTTTAAAGTTAATTTATTTTAATACTAAAAATATTTTTGAAAAAAAAAATTTATTTTTATTCACAATAAACCTATAATATTTGGACTTCTTCCACTTTTTGATCGAGCCAGAAATGGCCAATGTATTAATAACTGAATTTCACGGAAAGAAAACACCTACTCGAGACTACAGTATGCAGGAGGTAAATATAGATTCTGATCATTTTCTGCATAATCTGGCGGATTCTCCATGACAATAATTGCTTGAAGAGGAGGCAAAGGCGGTTCTTCAGTCTCATGAGTTCGAACAGGAGGCAGCTCTGTTGTGCTCTGCGACTCACGTTTATAATGTACACTTGTTTTACTGAGGCATGCTTTGAAACACCCGATGATAGCAGTAAGAATAATCTGTAAATACTCATGAGTTTCCGACCTCTTGGAAGGTTGAATTACCATTACTACTAACAGCATCATTGCTCCATCCAGAACATCACAGAACCAACCAGTGCATCCAAACTCTGACCCACCTGCACTACCGCGACGGTTCGAGTTTATCAGTAAAGCACTGCCACCTCCCATTCGGACACAACTCAAAAAAACTGCTCTGTAGAAAGGTTGAGAATGATTCGTGAAAAGTTGTGAAATGAGACGAGGTGAAATAGCAACCGCCTGTGGTGTTGTTCAAAAATGCATTAAATTGTCCATTGTTGACGTCCAAAGACATTTCCTGAACAATGGTGAATACAAGAAAAAGGTTAAGAGATCGAGAATGTTCATTTTTGGAATAAGTTTTTACAATGCATTATAGAAATTATACGGCAGCATTTACAAGGTTTGCAAGCTGGTTTATCGAATCTGAAAAGTGTTGAATTCCTAATTTCTTACTATTAATCAGAAAAACTTACTTCAAAGAAGAATAGGATGGGGGCATCTGACTTTCAACTACGTCATCTGATGACGGATTTGATGACTCTGATGTCCGAGTAGATCTAGTTGATGACGTTGACTTGAAGCAACCATAGAAGAACAGGATTATCTGAATAAAATTGTTGCGGCTCAAATAGGGTTCGAAAATGGGTAATTAATACATCTTTATATTAAAACACTTCTGTGCGTAACTAACCGTACAAAATACTCCTACCGCTACACCAAGAAAGAATACACCGAACTGTTTTAATTGATACCACCCCTCCAAATTTTCTAATTGCATGCTTTAAAAAAGAAAGAAATGGAGTGTTGCCTTGAGAGGTCGATTAATGTATGGAAATGGAAAGTTGTACGCCGGACATCAGAAGAAAGACATTCTGTTAGAGAGACCGAAAGAGACCAATTGGTCAAACGAGAATGACGTTATTTGATCTTATATGCTTGTTTTTTTAACCAATTTACGTTCAGAAGCGGAAATCGGCAGACAAAAAACACCTAACAGTTTCATTTTTGATGTTAACGCTGTTTTGCAAATAAAAAATTGAAGTCCGGAGAGAAATTTACTTTAGTTGGAGCCTGTCTGGTTCATTTTGATTATATAGAAACGCACGGAAGAGGTTCAGGTTCTATGGGTACATCGAAAAAAGGTACATCGATGATACCTCGAGTTTTAGGGTACATTAGTTCAGGTGGTACATGGGATCTTGGGGTGTAGGGCTTTCTAGCCGAAGCCTGTAATTTCCAGAGAAAAAGTGAAATAGTTTGTAAATAAATACTTTTTTCGACATTCGACATGACGAAAAAAAACCAATTTACTCAAAAACTAGATGCACCACTTTTTGATGTACCCTTGAATACTGGACCCCCGGAAGAACATTGCAGATTCCCCTATCATCTCTTGTGGTATTGGTTCATAAAACGATGCATATCTACAGACAGGAAATTGGATAATTGTATAGTCTAGACAATCCTCAATATTATACCGGAAACTGACAATGAGAACAAAACATGAACATTGTCTATTGCCACCGTATTCTGTCCTTACTGTTTTTGAGATATATGTTTTCAAATGAAGGTTTTCTGTCTGTTTTTATGTTTGTGGTTCCCTAGTTGAGGCGAATTCCGTTCTGTCTGTTTTTAGATGATTTTCTCACAAGCAGACAGAGGAGCATTTACCATTGCTTATGATATTTGGGGAAAAGGTGTGGTCGTTTTGATCAGGTTCCTAGTGTAGATTTTAAGCAGTTTCCAACCAATGAATTTCAAAAAAAAGTTAATTATTATATGAAAGGATAATTTATGAATATTGTAGGGAAATGCTCATATCCTCTAATAGTTAAGTATCTCAATTTGAAAGTAAATTCACAGTGTTTTATCGGTACATTATAATTTCGCTCCGAGGCTAAATTTATATGCCGACGTAAAGGTTTTGGTATCGACGCAATTCAAAAGCTGAAAAGAATGCCGAGTCGCTAGGTTTTCATCCGCTTCAGCGAATTTTTATTATTTTCTCTCGGGCAAAAGTAATCCTGTTTTCGTTTCTTTTTTTATTTCCTGTGACTTTTCTGTAATCCATAATGCTCTTGTAGACAAGTGATCTTTCTAGATGAATGCTTTTCACAACTTTTCAGGAACTATATTCAGGAATTGATATACAGCAAACTATCCTTGTATTTGGGTTTCTGGTCCTTATTTTAAGCAAAAAAATGGTTCAAACACAATAGAAATTCTTTATGACCTCAGACGGGTTTTGTTAAACCCATAATTTTTAAGAATTTGTAGAAATGTTATTTTTTATGCACTTTTAATATTGTTTCTCATGTCTCACTGACCAGAACCGCCCACCGTTTGGATCTAATATCAGTGGTGCTGTCTGGTTTTCTATTGCTAAATAATTGTATGTTTATCGTTGAGCGCTCGAGAATGTGCTAGGCTTTTCCGCTAAAGGTTATAATCAGTTTGTCAGTTTGTTGAGGGAGAAAAGGTAACTTCAGAAATAAAATGGGAGGAGCTTGAGAATATTATTCGAAGTAATACGACATTAAGCTGATATAGAATGGAAATTCAATTATTCATTTATCACCTGACGTCTTCTTCAGAACATCCTCTGCGCTTTTCTACTTTTTATCATTCAAAATACAAACTCTGCATACGATAACCATTACTCACGCTTTTGCGAGATGTATATTAATAGTCTTTAATTGAATATCCAAAATCAGGTGAAAATTTGAAAATCTGTTATCCAACAAAGAAGGGGGGGGGGCACCTGCTAGTGTCTCCTGTTTTCTAGTCATGCGAGATGTTGAATACAATTTTCTTTCAACTTCCTTCCAAGTTTTTGTTTTTATATTGTCGGAATAATTGAACTGTCATCTCATGTTTGCAATCTTACTTATGAATTAGGTGTTTTGCACTGAGCCTGACCCAATTTTAACTTTTTAGAAATATACCATAAAAACTATATTAGATAGCCGCTCTATTGTTCGGAGGTGGTCTGGAGTGTCACTGTATTAGGAGCTGGCATTCAATTAGAGGCTGGCACTTTATTTCTCGGCACCAGTTTCCCTCTGAAAATCATCTCAAAGTCTTATATTTTTAACTCTATCATACAACAAATTTCGAAATTTTCTTTTTTTCTCTTTTCTGAGGGTCTGACTGACTTTCGATGAATGACATCCGCCTTATAAACTTTAGTCAATTACAGTATCTCTTTCAAGCTTGGAAAAGTCGTTAAAATAAGAATCATAAAAAAGTTATTAAAAACAGAAAATGTTTTTTGGGTTATGAAATTAATCAACTTTCACGATAGTTGCATGATATCAGCAGTGGCATTAGAGGCTGGCATTCAATTAGAGGTGGCTATCTAATAGAGTTTTTACGGTATTTGTTGTCGCTGAGTGATAAAGAAAATGCTGACAGCGGATATCTCATTAAATTTTTTTAAAAGGTGGTGTACGGTGAAATTTTTTATTGCATCAAAATGTGCAGAAATGCATGTAGATTGACATAAAAATAAAGAAAAAATTCAAAAAATTCCTTCATCGAGAAAAACGCATCGAAAAATACTTTTCAAATTTTCCGATGTATCTGGAAGAAAAATCGACAAAAACCTAGAAAACTCTTTAAAAAGCGAAAAAAAAGTGAAAACGAGCGAAAAAATTTTAAAAGTTTGACTTCGCGCGCTTTTACTCACCGGGCGGCCTAGAAAAACCTCGTCCCTAAGGGCTTTCAGCGTATTTTTCGATGCGTTTTTCTCGATGAAAGAATTTTTTTTTTGAATTTTTTCTTTATTTTTAAGTCAATCTACATGCATTTCTGCACATTTTGATGCAATAAAAAATATCACCGTACACCACCTTTAAAGGCGCAAGAACAAACTACCGTATCTTTTGAGGGAAAAAATATTGAAAAACTATGTCAATCTTCGGAAAGTTATGAAAGCGGGTAAACAAATTTAAAATGGGGGTTGAAAGATAGTTCGCTCTTGTGCGTTTCAGAAAACTCAACGAGATGTCTGCTCTCCACGTGCATTGATTTCGGACAAAAGTAATAGCTATTGGTATATTTTCATCCTCAATTCCGTCACTTTTTTCTCTAACGAAAAATTGTATTATTTGAATGATTCAACTACAAGTCCTCTATTGAATAGAGCGAAGAGCGATTTCTAGAATATTTATCTCCATGACATTCTGAAAATTGATCTTCACGACCGCAGAAAGTTAAGAAGAGTGATATTTTTCAAACAGGATGAATGATGATTTGCTCTGAAGAGCTACAAAAAAGTGAAATAGTTTTATGCTCCTTCAAACTCATACATACCGTAAACACTAATAGAACGCCACCCCAAACGTTTAGCTTTGAGCCAGTTTATCTCTGTTCCTGTGAAATATATCGAAAAATGGTCAATTGATGAAATGCTCATCA